TTATGAATATTTATAATTTTATGATACTAATTGATTCAAATTTAAACAACTTTCTATAATCATATATGATATACATATATCATATAAAATTGAGAGACTTGACTTAAACTTGAAAACCAATCCACTAATTACTAAAAAGTTTGAGTTATTCGAGTTATTCTATTCTTATTTTATAACTCAAACCTCGAATTTATAAAATTATGAGTGGAGTCAAGCCCGGCCGAGTTTTTCAACATCGAGCCGAGTTTTGTTCAACCCTATTTATTCTCACTTTGAAAACTTCTGAAGTCTGAAGTTGGGGTTTCTGTTTTTTGGAAGCTTCCTTTGATATTGCTGAATGCAGATACTTTTTGCTATAACCAGATACCCTGATGATCGATTTGATCGATATTGGGAGCCATATGAAGGAAATGTTTATGTTATAGCAAGCAACAATACTCCACCTGTTTCTGGGTTCTGGAATATACCCCCTTCAAAAGTATTTGAAGGAGCACTTTCAACGGATCAATTAGAGGCCCTGGAGTTGAGTTGGCCACCTTCGTCACTTGCAAACTCTACTTATTACATTGCTTTGTATTTTGCGTATAATAGTGATTCAATCCCGTCAAGCTCAAGACTGCTTGACATACACATAAATGATGTAATGTATTGTAGCAATTTGGGAGTGACTTCGGCTGGAGCTGCGGTTTTCGCAACCAGATGGCAACTTGCTGGTCCAACAAAGATCACTTTGAGCCCTGTTGCCAATTCGAATATCAGTCCTTTAATCAATGCTGGGGAGATTTTTAATGTTCTTCCCCTTGGAGGAAGAACTCATACAAGGGATGGTATGTTATCTAATGATTTCTACTGCTGTTGTGTGAAATCATGTTGAATTTTTTCCTTGGAAAAATGCTCTTACTGATTCTGTGTGATCGTCTGTTGCTGGTTGCAAAGAACCCTTTATGTCAAGAACGAACCCTTTATCTCAATTTCTTGTTGCAGTAAGAGCCTTAGAGAACTTCAAAAAAAGGTTGCAGAACCCTCCACTTGATTGGAACGGTGATCCTTGCCTGCCTCTTGATTATGCTTGGACTGGAATTACATGTTCCGAGGGTGAACGGATTCGTGTGATAACTTTGTGAGTTAAGATGCAGTTTTTTTGCTGTCTATGCATCATCTATTGTTGCTCAAACAACTGAACTTGTTTTTTTGGTTGTTTTCAGGAACTTGACTAGTATGGGTCTTTTGGGATCGTTGTCATCAAGCATTGCTAATTTAACTGCACTGAGTGGCATGTATGGTATCAAAAGTAAACTTCAAGTGATGAAATTCAAAGATAATGACATTCTAATTTATTTTTCCATTCTCTCAACAGTTGGCTTGGTAATAACAGTTTATCAGGAGTAATACCTGATCTCAGTTCATTAAAGCTACTAGAAATATTGTAAGTATATTTTTCTCTTGTGCTTTTTGCTCTTTGAGTCATTTGTAAATAGTTGGTACGTGGGCATTCATGTAGAATTGTCTAATAGTTTTATATGAAAACTACATTTAATATGCTACCTTTTTTTTTGTTAACAGGCGTTTGGAAGATAATCAATTCAATGGAGATATTCCATCATCACTTGGTGACATTGGAAGATTGCGTGAACTGTAAGTCATTCTTATTTGGCTAATATATGTCCCCTTGAACTTTGTCACTTTGTTTATACAAGCCCTTATCTTTTTATTACACCTAAATAAGACCTAAACTTTAATTGGCATCCTGATAATCCCCTAATCTTTAACTTGTATCCCAATAAGCCTTTAATATTTAACTTGTTTCTGATATGTTTGTAACCTTTAATTTGTATCCAAATAAGCCACCAACCTACCATTAATTTATGTCTAGAACAAAAACATAAATCGATATTTCATTTGAAATAAGGGCTAATTTAATTGCACCTCGAAATATAAGGCTTATCTAGGTATCACAAAAGCAAGGATCAATTCGAAGATAACATCATGCAACTTATGGCTTTATTGACAAGGATATTTTCAGCCTCAGGTCATGTCATTCTCCATTTATGTAGGAAAGAAACTGTTTCTTCTCCTCTGCTTGGCCCTCTTGTACAATTTCGACTATAGTGACTCGAATTCGTTTATGCCCTCTTGTACAATTTTGACTATAGTGAATTTCTTCTCCTATGTCTGGTTTTTGGGTCTATGGTTTCCACGTAAAATATGTATTCATTTTTTTTGTTTTTGGTTAATTTTTATGGTATATTATTCATGCTATTTACTTCGAAAAATAATTGAAACATTTCAATATATCAGACTTAATGCCTTTTTCCAAATACAAAGTTCTTAAAGAGAGAATCTTTTGTCACATGTCTTTTAAGTTACAAAGTAGATAATTTTCAAAAAAAGAAATTTAGAATTTTTATTTTTGAGGAAACGATTGATTCCATAGTGAAAATAATCTATCCTTTTTCTCACAGAATGATCACTTTGGTTGCCAAACCTGAAGAGATCGATCCTATGTTCATAGGAGTCAATTCTTACGTACTTAGAATTGAAAAATTGGCTCAACAATCATAAGTAATCGGTCATTATTTGAACAGAATAATTCCTTTGGCTGGAGTAGGAGAAGAATTAGGAATGATCCATCTTTATTCAAATTGAATCTCCTTTTGACTGGAAAGTAAAAATGATCGATACCTTAAAGGAACTGATCTATCCCTTGCCCCTTGACAGTTGACAGCAAACCAAGGGTTGAGTTTGGATCAGAACCAACAGTTCTTTTTACAATAAATGAAGACCTATTAGTTATCCTCACCATAGATTACAGGTACAAGAGTGGTAGATTCAATTCTTCAAGCATTCAATTGTTAAAGCTTTAAATTCTTTATCACTTGCACCTAGTCATTGTTTGTTATTATCTTATTCCTCAGTGTACCAAAAACTTGCAAAAATCAACCTTTGTGAGGTAAAAAAATCTATGTATATCATCTTGAGTTTGTAAGTTCAAGGGGAGTGAAAATGAATTTGTAATATTGAAGACTTAGTTGATAGAACTCATTTTGGTTTAACATGACTTCAAAAATTTCTAATCATCCAGAGTTCCCTCTTCTTGGTTTGCCTATCTCCTTTGAGCTAAAACATGAGTTCTGTATGATTGACATGTGATATGTCCTATATATTTGAGGGAACAGCTATTATTTCATATAGTTTGTGTTGGTCCACTTCTTTTCCAAGCATAGGTGGTTAGGGGTCGAGTTCCGTTATGAAATTTAGATCTGTACCGGCTTTCTGTCCTTTAATTTTTCAGTATATTTCCATTGTGTTCTTAATTTTTGTTGTTAGTAGTGGTGGTTCCGAATGTACACTCTACCTCTTATCTTTTTTTTTCTTTTCCAAATACAGAACCAGCCAATGTAATAGCATATGAAAACTTTATGATTGGTGTACTATTTAGTAACTTAAAAACTAAAAACTCACCATCCGTTGCTTTCATAAAATTGTTAGATTTACAAAAGTGAAGTGCCAAGACCTAAAGAAAAAGAAAATCCATTTGTCGGATAAGATTCTATCCATTAATTGCGTGAAAAAATGCCATCCAAGACAACACATATATATTATAACCGTCAATGATATCTTCTGTCTAGATTGTTTACTTAGTTTTCTGTATGGTCTAGATTCTTGCAAAACAACAATCTGACTGGGCGCATACCGGATAGCCTTTTTGGAAAACCAGGACTGGACTTGAGGTAAGTATAAATTTACACTGGCCAAGCCATTCTTAGCTTATAAACTTCAAGCTTCAAATCTTCTGAATTATAAACTGTTGGATTAATATAAGGTTTTAACTTGTTTTAGGACTTTTGGAAATCGGTTTTTATCCCCTGCACCTTCGTAAGTAGATTGTACATGCATTCAGAGGTAACATCACACAACTGGAATGGTCAAAATACTCAGATTTCACCAAATTCTGTGTCTACGTTTATTCTGTATAAAAAAAATATCATCTTGTTCTGAAACCTTGCTGGAGGTTTCACCAATGTTATCTGTTTGATTGTAAAGTTCTCATACTTTGCATGTTGGAGCATCCACAGTTCTCTTGTACTAGAAATACTTGTCCATATCCAGTCAGTCTGTAAATCATAACCATACTTCACCAACTCATTCCATTATATTTTTTAAGAGATGTGATTTATTTACTTTACCTGGAATATAAAGGTGTAAATGGTAGAAAATAGCACCATTTTACTGGTACAAGGAGGGATAAATAGTGAAAAATAGACCGAAAATTCGTGTTATATAAGTTTTAACACATTCATGTATTTGTATCAGTTCGTGTCTAAAGTTACTAGATCTAGGGGTAAATACCATCTAATGGAATTACCATTCAGGATGTGTTGGTGTTGGTACAAAAGAGTCCTTTCTGTCTAGTTCTTTTAGAATTTTGGGTGGCATTTACCTGTCCGAAGCATTGATAGTGAAGGTTCATTTGCTTTTAACATAGACATTTGCTTTGTACTTGGATGCTGTATGCCTTAGATCAGATGCATTAAAATACACCAAAATTTTAAATGTATTTCATAAACGATGAATCAGGAGCCATTTTACCCTTTTCAGATCCTTCCCTTCTTTCCCAAAAATAATTCAGTGCTGTTTAGACCCATTCATCCTTGGCTGATCTGTCAGAGTGGGGCCCTGAAAATTCATAAAACTCTGCATCTTTGCATGTGGTGTTCTGTAAATGACTGCTCATTTTTCTAGCTCTGATATTACATTAGTGATTGACAGGCACGGTCGCAAGATTTTATGTTAGAGAGAGTGAATTTAAGAACTTATATTAGAAATTTAGGGAGTTTGAAATTAGATTATCAATGGAAAATACCTAAACTATATAGGAATTTTAAATTTCCAGGGGTGCAACCACACCCCAGCACCCCTCGGTCCATCCCTGCTGCCTGATGAAAGTGAAACCAAGTTGGAAAGAACCAGAGAGTTAAAATTATCAGTCTACATTTACATTGTAATGCATCTGAACTGAACTTCCATCCATCATATTCAAAGATTTTATCTAGACATTAGGGGGAAAAAAGAGCAGAAAATTTTGAAATTTGAAAATTAAAAACAAATGGGACATATTGAAGAAGCCTAGATTCAGATCAAACTCAGCTATGGCTTTGTTCTTTTTTTGCCTTCACCTCTCTAATCTTCCTTTCCTAAGAGGGACCTGAGGAGGCAATGCACTGCTCTTGACTTGCGTACAGATAGGCACATTAATCATTGGCCTGATTCTAATGCTTGCTGATCTTGTTCTCTCCGACCCTTTCTTTATCCTCTTCACATGGTTATTATCTCTATTCCCAGACCCTTGTTTCCCTTCTACAGATGCATCTACGTCCCCCAATGAGCTCGAGGACGACGACGTCGACGACGAGGAAGACGACAGCGACAAAGACGAAGGGCGTTGTTTCTTCAGCCTCAGCAACTCCTTCCACAGCATGGTACATTTCGGCGGCCTCGGGGAGGGGACGTCATCGACAAACCAACTCACCCTGCTGCTCTCATCTTTGTTTATTACCTCTTCCACCACCATCCCACTGTTGTCGTCTTCATCATTTTCCACTTTATTTTTTCTTAGGCTGATTTGTTTGAGCTTCTCGGAATGCTGCTTCTGCCAAAAGGGGAGCAGCCTTCCCTCGAAGAAAAGCTCGTCGGCCGTCAACACAGCATTGCTGCTCACTTTGCTCGAAAGGAACTCGAAGTCGGCAACTCTCGCTTTATCTGTCTCCTCTGCATCCATCCCTTCGTTTTTAGAATGTGGGTTGATGGATATGAAGTTGGTTTCATCAAGGAAATCAGCCGAGAATGAAATCCTGGTGCTCGAATTCGGCTCTGTGCTATTTCTAGAGCTTGCTTGAACGGCTTCCATGGCCATTCTTTAAGATCCAGAGTACCATGAGATGTGCATGGGATTTGCCATTTATAAAGGGGAGGTGGTGGATGGAAATGCATATTTAGAGTTTCTTTGCCGTTAACTCATTATTTAAATAGGGTTAACTCGTTCCGATGTCCCCAAACTATAGGGTAAGTTCTAATTTAGTCCCCCATCTTCAAAACATTACATTCTAATCCTCAGGCTAAAGTGTCATCTTTTAGGGATTATATTAAATTGGAATCTTAGAGGGACTTATGGTGAAATTAAGTCAACTAAATATGTGGTTGGTTTGTTTATTGTTACTTTGTGGAGTAGACGGTGAGATTATAAAAGCTATGGTGGTCTGGCGAAGCCGAAACAAGTGATTATTGTGGTGTTTAGTATACTGAAAGCATCACATGGACACTACACTCTACGATTTCTAGAGGACAAAAATGTCTTTTCATTTTCTATAAAAATTATTAAAATGCCTTTTTTATAATAATAAAAAAATAAAACCTTTTCCTTGTTTGCTATTTATAATTTGTCTTTCTTTGATTAGAAGTTATGTTAATCTGCTAATTTTTTCTATAAATTAATCGATTAATAACTATTAATTAATATATTTTAAAGGGATTTTTTTGGGTGAATTTTTATCTATAAATAAACTAAAGTCTATGTTGGGTAACAAAATTCAATTAAAAAAATCAAAGTTGCTGGAAAAATTCAAAATTTATTTGCAAATATTAATAGTAAAGTGAGAAATTTACCCACAACATTACAGTAAAATATAATTCAAAATATAATAATAATAAATTGTAACGTCCAACTATACTGTGGTGATTAATTTACTCTTAATCCATAAAAACAGTAATTAAATCAGATTATGGATTCTCGTGTAACTATGAACTCCGAAATAAGTGATGAATAAAAAAAAATGTGTTTTATAAATATTTAAGTGTATTTGTTAAGCCAATTGCAATTGATTTTTGGCAGAGGAGCGATTAAAATATTTTTAAAGATATATATGTTTTATTATGGGATAAAGTACACAAATGGTCCTTCGATTATAGGATAATGCTTTATTAAGTTCCTTTACTATTAAAAGTAACAAAATAGTCATTCGATTATAAAATATTACTTTGTTGATTCTCTCAACTATTAAAAGTTACAAAATGGTCACTTCACTATTAATTATGTTCCAAACTCGTCATTTTTCATTAAAAAAATCAATAGTTGTCTGAGCTAGACGTTAACATGATTGAAATGTGATAGTTGTTTGAGATTTTTGGATCATGTTTTATCATATCACAACCATGACCCAACATGTTAGAGTTCAGCTCAAAATACCACCAATTTTTTAAAGAAAAATTATAAGTTTGGAACACAATAAATAGTCGGTGACCATTTCATAACTTTTAATAGTTGAAAGACTTAATAAAATAATATCTTATAGTCGGAGATCATTTGTGTACTTTAACCTTCATTATAATCTTATTCTTTTATTAAATGTAACGGCAAGATCTTCTTGGGAAAATATAATTATTAAATTTTCTTTTCATTAAAGTTTTTTCTTTTAATTCTGATAACAAAAAATATTATAAAATACTAGCCTCCTTAAGCAAGATCAAGGGTTCGAATCTTAGCGATTATGAATGGAGTAAACTGGGTTGAGAATGTCGCCTTTGACTCTACGTTATAATAAGTTTACGGAATATTATTCACAGAGAGTTATTGTATAGATTTACATAATCAGGGTATCCATTTCATGTTTAAAATTTATTTCTCGCTGACGAAGAGAGCACAAGAACAGCTCAAAATGCCTGTTCGACTTATATTTTGATATATTTTCATTCCACTGTATATGGTATTTGAATTGAATATTGGTCATGAGTATGGTAGGGCTGATTATTGGAGTTAGGGACAAAGAGGAGAAGGTCAAAATACAGGAGTTTAGTAGCATCTTCAAAGGCCATTTGAAAAGGGGAGAGTGATGAAGAAGATGATGGGGAACATCAACTTTCATGGTGGTTTTTGGGGAAATTCAATTGATCCGGAATACACTCCAAGTCCTCAAGCATGAAGGCCAATGTCCCTAAACACTGCAAAGTGTGGGGGGACCATTAATATCATGATATATATAGGGATGGATGTCAATTTAATCCCAAATCAATAGAGTTAGTTTTTTTTTATTTGGGTTTGAGTCGGATCCGGGTGGAGGGTAAAAAAAACTCCGAATCGATCCTACTCGAGGATAATAATGTAATTTCATTAAAAATTATTATTAGTTTTAATTAAGTCCTTATTTTATACCAGATCAGGTCAAATTTATACTCTAAAAATTTAAGTCAAATCGGAGTTGGGTGGATGATATATATTTTTCAGGACGAGTAGGATCGGGTGGAGGATATATAATTTTCGGGTCGGGTCTAATTCGGATAGATGATACATATTTTTCGGATCGGGTCGAATTGACCAAAAATCCAACCCGACCCGTTATTATCCCTAAGTGTGTGTATATATATATATATATAATTATAATATTTGATTAATTAATTAATTAATTTAAATTGAGTATTACATAAATACATTATTAGATGACATTTTTAGTATAATATATTCTATTTATAATATTAACATCTGAATTTTGAATATTATTTAAAAGATCTAATATTATATCTCGTTAGACGGACCGATAATTAATTAGTTTTTAAATTAGTATGGTTAACCATTGTACAGTAGTTTCATCACAAAGCTTAGCTGTTATATGCAGAATGCCAATGCAAGTATTAAATTATACAGGTCAGTGCGTGGGGATATCCGAGGACCTGATAGACGCAGGCGGAAAGAGAGGGGACCCCAATGAGTTTTGACCAAAAATATCATTAATTATGCTTATTAATTTGCCTCAGCTTTGTCAGTCAGCTCATGAAACAGCCTGCTTCACAACGCCGCTAAAAGATTCAATCTGATAGATCGAATAAAATTAAGAATCAAAGTGAGAAAAAGGGTATACTTTGGGGACTAAAATGATTATTAAGTGTACTTTTTAGGGGGAAAGCCAAAAATTTTATATAAAATTTTAAATTTCGGTCAAAACTAAAAAAAAAATATGATAATTTTTTGTTAAATTGAATGACGAAGCTTAGGGAGGGACCAAAACTATAAATTTTCCATTTATGCAGGCGACTAAAAGGGCTTAACTTGAATTTATTAGTTTTTTGGAGGGGTTTAAAAATAACTTTTTTTAGGTGTGAACAAGTGTTTCATTCCTAAATATTTTATATTAGTAATCCTTTATGATGCTTATATGAAAAATACATAATTTTTTTTGCATGTGGAGGGAAGCCAACTTTGACCAACATAAACACAAGCAAGCCATGTTGGGTGGTGGATTGAAGCAATTTGAGTTCCATTAAGAGAGTTGCACCTTTTGTAGGGCAATTGATACAACTTTGGTTGACCAAGGAAAAATGATTCTCACCATACTCATACTGCCTTTGCTTCTCCCATTTCCAACACCTCATATGCATTTTTCTTTTTCATTAACAGAACGAATTCAATGGTAAATGAATTGTTATTATTCTTTGAGGATCCGGGTTTGAGCATAAAAATATCAGGGTGTGAGCGTTCAATGTCAAATGATTAAGAGTTGTTTTGAACATATATTATCTAATATTTACCCCATATTAATAAAAAAATAGCGTATTTTCTTTTAATTATATTAAATATCATTAAAGTTTGTGATCTGAATTTTGTTAATATCCAATAATCGTATTAGGAGAAAAAAAATGAAGAGATGAGAGACGAAGTCCATACAATATGATATAATTAGAGAAAATAACCTCAGTGACCAAAAATGCCTTACAATATACGATTTTAACCAACTTTTTTTGGATTTACCAAAATGACCAAGTAAATCGCAATGCGATTGATAATTCGCAACGCGATCTCCGGTATCGCAAATCAGTTTCCAGATTCGCAACGCGAACATCGACTATCGCATCACTCGCGATTATTGCAATTTTAAGCAAAACATTCAAAAAAAATTGCATCACTCGCGAGAATAAAAAAATTGTATCGTGCAATTACAATCAATTGAAAATAAATTAGAATTGCATGAAACTAAACGAACCACAAATACTTTTCATACAAATACTAAAGTCATTAACTATAATTCACAATAAATTTCGGTCAAAACTAAAAAAAAAATATGATAATTTTTTGTTAAATTGAATGACGAAGCTTAGGGAGGGACCAAAACTATAAATTTTCCATTTATGCAGGCGACTAAAAGGGCTTAACTTGAATTAATTAGTTTTTTGGAGGGGTTTAAAAATAACTTTTTTTAGGTGTGAACAAGTGTTTCATTCCTAAATATTTTATATTAGTAATCCTTATGATGCTTATATGAAAAATACATAAATTTTTTTTGCATGTGGAGGGAAGCCAACTTTGACCAACATAAACACAAGCAAGCCATGTTGGGTGGTGGATTGAAGCAACAGTATGAATTATTACAGCAACAGATTACATTGTAGAGGTGTCGCCAGACAAAATTATTTGCATTCATACAAATTTTGTGCATGTCCTTACCTATTTTATATGTATTTACTTTGAATATTATTAGTGCCAAGTGCCCTTAAATTTGAGTTCCATTAAGAGAGTTGCACCTTTTGTAGGGCAATTGATACAACTTTGGTTGACCAAGGAAAAATGATTCTCACCATACTCATACTGCCTTTGCTTCTCCCATTTCCAACACCTCATATGCATTTTCCTTTTTCATTAACAGAACGAACTCAATGGTAAATGAATTGTTATTATTCTTTGAGGATCCGAGTTTGAGCACAGAAATATCAGGGTGTGAGCGTTCAATGTCAAATGATTAAGAGTTATTTTGAACATATATTATCTAATATTTACCCCATATTAATAAAAAAATAGCGTATTTTTCTTTTAATTATATTATTAATATAATCATTAAAGTTTGTGATCTGAATTTTGTTTAATCCAATCTAATAATCGTATTAGGAGAAAAAAATGAAGAG